AAACATACAGGAAATTATTAATGTAAGTTTTGCTTCTAATTTATTTACGATGTATGGTATTAAGTCCTAAAGCAAATTAATATAATGATTCACTAATTCTAAATGCATAAAATTTATAGCAAACTTTAAAATAAACTAATCTTCTTAATATTGTCATAATAAAATAATTTGAATTGGTACATTTTTATATCATTTTGTTTTTAATTTAATTTTCTCAACTTAGAATTTCTCTAAAATTTTAAAATTTTTATTTCATTCCAAGGTAATCAATAAAAATCAAAATCGACTTACTAATTTTTTAGATAAAATATACTGAATATTTTGCACAGAGCTCTAATTAGTAAAAAAATTGTAGGTAAACACGGATTAATAAGGATAAAAAATTGTAGCCCGACATGCAAATCATTTTGCTGCTTTCAAAAAAATGCTAATTTTATATCAAATTTATTAGAAAATAAATTGAAAATTGTTCAAATTTTTTAACATTTCTATTGACCACATATAAATGGAGCATCCTGTAGCTCTAACTATTGGACAACGAAAAAGCCCAATAGTGAAATTTATATCTCTATAGTCTTAAGGTTATTTAAATATTTGCCATTGAACATTTATTCTGTGAAGTATTTCACAATGAATCTGGAAAAACTTAGAAGAACTTTCGTGCAGACTGAAGAGAAAAACTCTTTCGACTTTGCTGTAGCCTTTCAACAATTCTAAACTGAAAGTACATCGAATGAAGAAATAAAGGTAGGAATAAGAATTACCAAGAAATAGCTATTGGCTTCTTGCCATTGCATAATAAGACTATGCGAGGCAACGTTTCTCACCTTCGTTACGTTTTAACTGAAAGACAGTCGACTTTTCAATCAGCAAGCTATTTAATATGGAACATGTTTTACCTTCATTCTTCAAGATAGTTTATTAACGATAATATTTCAAAGTAGAGGGCAAATGATGTGTAGCCAGCCATCGCCTTAAATCGACCGACTTAGCTGTTACGAATGTTTATTGTCAAATTTCTAACAAAAGTATTTTTTTGCCGTTGATCTTTTTGGATATAATATACGTCATTTGATTATATTATAAAATGTATCATTATTTTTAAGGTATTGAAATGATATATGGTGTTGGTGGGAGGTCTAGGTATGTGTTGGGGTCCAATGTTGGGTTGATCCACACTCCAGAATAGTTGTAACCACAGGTAGATCCTTTATCCAATTTGGATGGTAAATTCTTCCAACCCTATTCTGGTACCTTGGGTCGAGCAGTAGAAGTAAGTTTGAATCACTGGTTTGTAAAATAGATCTCTTCGGAATCGTGAGTACTTTCAGTAAGATATTAGCTGAAAGAGATATAATTCTTGCTTCTGATCCAATATGAAAATTCACTTGTTGAACTGTACACTTTATTTATTCTTCCTTATTACAAATTCCGACAGACATAATCTTCTCTTAAGATATTCTAAGACTACTCTAGACTAGACTCTCTCTTAAGACTCACTAGACTATACTCTAAATTCGACTCACTAAATTCGACGGTCGATCACCATTCTATTTATTAGGTATTGGACGTGACATATGTGCACTTCCGCATTGCGCTCTGGCCATGTACTTTGAATATTTATCAAAACCGCACAAATTGCATAATTACACAATAGTACATTTAACCGTTATAATTATATAATCTCTAAAATAGCTTACATATGGTTGGGGCAAAAAGACGCACCTAAATTTTTACATTGGCAACAATAAGAAAATAGCCCTTGGAAAACTTTTCTGCCCTGCCTATGAGGTAAAAACAACCAGATGACAAATTTAACAAAAGTGTCATAATAATACGCTTCAACAATGATGTATTAGTTGGAACGTTTACTGAACATAGTTCGATAGTTATTTGTTTGATGTGTTATATGTTTTGATGTACTTGGTTTGGTTTTCACAGTATCACTGCTGGACCTTTGTGTGCCGCAATACCCTAATTATTTTTGCATGAGTACCGACCGTATAAGCATATATTGTTTGTGTTTTTACGTAAGTCGCCCAAAGTTATTCCTTTACTGTTTTTGTTTTTCAGGGTTCCTCTATTTTCGCGCTTGACGTTGCCAACCAATTTCTATTTTCCAATTCATGATTATATCCAGAAAATTTGTTTTCTTTCCTACTCTTGGTACTTCTTCCCTTGTCACCTTCTTATTTTAATTCATCTTCTATATTCTTTTGGTTCAAATTATACCTCTAAACAATCGTAATATTATCAGTAGAAATCCAGGCCCCAATGACCATACTGCATCAGTTTCGTCAGAAAGTCGAGACTCATTTTGGTCATCAATAACGTCTTTCCCTTTCGCAATGGCTGATGTTTCCCACGTAGCATCCATTCCTAGCTAATATTCTTAGCAAGTATATAAAATGACCCACATCTTTCAGTGTTTCATTTTTCATCAATAAATT